TTTGTATGATGGAGATGATAGGATGTTTGAGGGTCATGTAGATGCAGATATTGAATGGAGAGGGATAGTTAGAGAGGAACCTGATAGGGCTGAATTTGCATCTAGCAAGGGTAAGCAGAGAACTAGAAATGGCCATCCAACTTTTGGTCCTAAAAAAGACATGCAAAATCCACAGTTTGAATTGGGCATGAAATTGGCCATCTTTAGAAAGGCAGTTAGGAACTTTGCAATTGCACAAGGTAGACAAGTGTCTTTTACAATTAATTTGAGCTACAAGGTGAAAAGTTCAGAAATAAATCATGTCCATGACTCATTTATGCATCCAAATTTCAGAATGAAGACACTGTGTAGGTTAAGACATTCAATGGTAGGCATAAGTGTCCTAGAAACCAAAATGTGAGTCATGCTACTCCAAATTGGATAGCTGAAACTTACAAAAATAAGATATTAGATCATCCTAAATGGCCAGTAGAGATAATGATGGCAGAGATGGAAAGGGAAGTAGGGATTGTTTTCAAAAGATGGCAAATGTATGAGGTTAAAAACTATGTGTCTCAGATTGGTGTGAGGTCTGATTGTGAGCAATATGCTATGCTTTGGTCTTATGCTGAAGAGATAAAAAATAACAACCCTGGGACCACTGGGAAAATTAAAAGCAAACTTGTAGATGGGGAGCCACTGTTTAAAATAATTTATATTTGTTGGGGCTCTTTAAAAAAAGGATTGCTTAAGGGTTGTAGGAAGGTGATATGCTTAGATGGTTGCATCTGAAAACCACTTGTGGTGGTGTTCTATTGACTGCAGTTGGGGTTGATGGAAACAACTGTATGTATCGTTTTGCATATTCTGTTGTTGAAAAGAAAACAAAAATAACTTGGCATTGGTTTGTTGAACCGTTGAAAGGAGATTTGGGGATTGAGAATTCTTTTATGTGGACAATAATGTCAGAAAAACAGAAAGAGCTGGTAGATGCCATTGAAACTCTACTGCCAGATTCTGAGCATAGGTTCTGTGTCCAACACTTATATGAAAACTTTATAGGACTTCATTGAGGGGATTAGCCCTGAAAAACTTGTTGTCGAGAGCAGCCAAGTCCACTAGAGTTGTTGACTTTAATGCTGCAATGAAAGAACTAGATGGAAGGGACAAAAAAGCTTTTGAATGGTTGGCTAAGAAACAAGAAATCAATGGTCAAGGTTACACTATAGTTGCAACTCAAAGTGTGATATGCAGCTGAATAATATGTCTGAGTCTTTTAACTCACTCATTCTGAGAGCAAGGAGTAAGCCTATTGTTTCTATGCTGGAAACAATAAGACTTATCTTGATGAAAAGGACCTACATGAGACGGGAACATATGAGAAAACATTTGCATGGGAACTTCTGCCCAAAAATCATGAAGTTGTTGGAGGAATTGAAGAAGTCAATGGGTTTTATTTGTCACTGGAATGGGGAAGACCAATTGGAAGTAGAGGGAAGCTCAGGGAGATTCAGAGTTCATATGGGGGAGAAATCATGCACATGTAGGAAGTGGGACCTTACAGATATCTTTTGTGAGCATACATTAAGTGGTATGTTTTTGTTGGGCACTCAACCTGAGGAGTATGTTGCTGACTGGTACCACAAAGAAACATTTTTGAAGGCTTATTCTGAGATGTTGGACACTCTTCAACCTTCTGAATGTTGGCCAAATGGAGACTACCTGGAAGGTCAAAACAAAATGCTAGAAAAAAACAGCCACATGAAGAGGTTTTGACAGGAAAATCCAAAAAACAAGTTCAAGTGAGGCTGAGTAGGAAAGGGAAAATAATGAAATGTTCTCTCTGCAAAAAAGATACCCACAACATCAGATGCTGCCCTTTAAAAACTGACAAGAGTGCACCAACTGAAGGACTTCCTATACCATCCTCTAATGAAGATAATTCTGTGGTAAGGTAACTGACATTGTTAAAAAATTATGTGTTTTATTATAAATATTTTTTTTATTCATAAATTGCATTATTTTTTATGAAGAGAAACAAGAGGAAAACAACTGAGAGAGAGAGAGAGAGAGAGAGTGAAAGTGAAGTACCAGCCCCTATCGAGGACATTAATGTGGTTAAGGTAATGTTCTTTGTTATACAATTGTTACTATTGGTGTTTTTTTTTCTTGTTTTTTTAACAACAAGTGTATTTTCTAATTCAAAATTGCATACATTGTACATTTTTTTTTTTCTGAAGGGGAAAAATAGCAAACCAAGTGGCAGAGAGTGTGAAGTGTCAGCCTCTATTGAGGACATTACTGTGGTCAAGGTAATTTTATTTGTTAAACAATCGTTATTATTGTTGTGTTTTATTCAAGAAGTGTATTTTCTAATTCAAAATTGCATACATTGTACATTTTTTTTTTTCTGAAGGGGAAAAATAGCAAACCAAGTGGCAGAGAGTGTGAAGTGTCAGCCTCTATTGAGGACATTACTGTGGTCAAGGTAATTTTATTTGTTAAACAATCGTTATTATTGTTGTGTTTTATTCAAGAAGTGTATTTTCTAATTCAAAATTGCATACATTGTACATTTTTTTTTTTCTGAAGGGGAAAAAGAGCAAACCAAGTGGCAGAGAGTGTGAAGTGTCAGCCCCTATTGAGGACATTACTTTGGTCAAGGTAATTTTATTTGTTAAGCAATTGTTATTATTGGTGTGTTTTATTCAAGAAGTGTATTTTCTAATTCAAAAATTGCATACATTGTACATTATTTTTTTTTGAAGGGGAAAAGAAAGAAATTGTGAGAGCAAGTGATGTTTTACAAACAAGAATCTGTTGCAACGACACATACAAGGGTCAACAGAAGACAAGTCATATCTGAGCATCATATTGAGAAAGGCAATGCCACAAAACTCACAAGAAGCCAGTCTGCAGGGCCTAGTGGAGTTGCAACAAAACCTTCAAGACTCACATGGAGCCAAACTCCATCTGCATCTTCACTTACTAGGAGAAAAGAAAGTCAGACTACGAAAGAGAGGCATATTTCTGTTACAACTTCACCCACAAAAGTGACAAGAAGCCAAACTCAATCTGCAGCTACACCTACAAGGAGAAAAGGGAGTCAGACCACAGGGCATACTTCTGTTGCAACTTCACCCAACAAGAAGCCAAAATGTATCTGCAATTACATCTACAAGATTAACAAGAAGTCAATTCAAAGGTGTTACACCTACCAAGGAATTAGTGCGAAAAAGGACTATAAAAATTCAGACTATGAGTAAGACATTGGGATTGAAGAGGAAACTAGAGGTATTAATAATACTCATTTTTTTGTGATTTTTTTCCCTATGTGCTTCAACCTGTTGTATTGATATTAACATTCTATTAATAGGTGACAAGGAAAAAGAATCCATTAACTCAAGGTGCAAGTTTTTCAACAGCAAAAGGACCAGTTGTAAACAAGCAGGTGGTGCAATCTCAGCCTGAGCCAGAGATATTGGGAACATAGATTACTAGTTGTGGGAACATAGTGGATAACTAGGGGTTAGTTCTGATAGATGTGCTTGATTTTGAAACTGTAATGGTTGTGGTTGGTTTTGGATGTGGTTGATAAGTTTGTTGAACTCAGATATAATGGTTGTTAGCTTTTGGATTTAATGGTTGGTTTTGGATATTATGATTAGTTTTTTTAACTCAAGTACAATGGTTGTTAGTTTTTGGTTTGGTCATCTATTTTGGTTGTTGACTGGGTGTTTTTTAAGATGTTGGCCTTGTAAAACCGGTTGGGAATATTGTTGGAATGGAAGAATTATGGCTATTACATATTGTGCAATTTCTGTTTTATGTTATGAAGGTATTTTGTTTTGTTTTGTTTTTGATTTTGTTATGTGTGTTTTGTTATTTCTGTTTCTGTTTTTGAATGAAAGTATTGTTCATGAGTATATATGCACAACCATTCACACATCATATTTTGCATGTTACTAACATTCTAAAGAAAGCCATGAGCACACAATTAATGCAAAAGAGTTTGAACAACCAAAATGGCGCTTGATTAATCAAAAGAGTTTGAACAACACACATTATCATTAACATTACAATCAATGCACTACGACATAGTTTGAACACTACCTAATGCAAAAGAGATCCACAAATCTAAAAGCTTAGAAAAAACTACAAACATGCAATATATGATCACCCAAGAGATCAGAATTACAAGCCACATCCAACGCTCACGAGCACTTTTCCTCTTAAAACACAATTTAAGATTGGCCCTTTCTTCCATAACATTTTCAATACAAGCTCCAGTCTCTTTCAAATCCGATTGAAGTTTGTTCACATAAGATTGAAGTTTCTTCACATTAGCTTCCAACCTCATCACGTCTACTTCAAGAGTTTGAGCTTCACTTTCAAATTTGTGGGCACGTTTTAACATGTCGGGAATGATTACACGAGCTATAGGGTACAAAGGTGGTTCAATCCACGAAAAATATAAACAACCACCATCATCCTACAAAATTCAATTAAAGAAACAAATTAATTTCAAGAGATCTAGGGTTTATTGAATTCGCCTAATTTTGGAATTAGGGTTCCTTGAATTTGCCTAAATTCATAAATTAGGATTAATCTAATTAATCCCTTACCCGATTTTTTGCGCAAGTAAAATATATCCTTCATGGATTTTGGACACTCCATGATGTTTTCGTAACAACATTGATCCCACAATTACATAGTTGACCTATCGCCTCCGTTTGTCTCAAAGCCATTTTCGCAGGTGAAGAGAGAAAACCAACCGCAGGTGAAGAAGAAAAATGAAGAACTAAGCGTATGTAATGACAAATTTACCCTCAAGTTTCGAGCGTGCGAGTATATTAACGGAGGTTGCGATACAAGCAAAATCGTATATTAAAGGTTGCAACTTAGTACAAAATATTCTTTAAGTTGTAAAACCCAAATTCGCGCATAGTACATGTTGCAAAAAATAATTCACCAATATATTTATATTTTATGGATAAATTTTACAATTTCCTCCAAATTTTAAATTTCCTACCGCTAAACGTTCTAAAACGATAATTAGGTGAGGCTGAGAGAGTATCAATTTATCTCCTCTGCAATACCAACACGCACACACACAGACAATCTGGTGAGTGCTGAAAGCTCACCGAACCCAGTTTTTCCTGCAGAATCTCCGGCCATTAATGACCTTAGCAAGCTCTTGAGCTCAACTATTTTGTCCGTATCAGAGCAATTGTCATTTCTTGCTTTCACTTACCGTTTTCACTTCACAGAGAAAACGGTTGACATCATTTTTCCGTCCATCAAAACGGAGGACGTCACCTTGGGTAAAAGGTCTGCTACCAAACAAACTCTTCGATATGTCCAGATACACACTTCATTTCTTTTTATTCGGCTTTCTCGTACAAATGCCGTGTATATCCAAGTTGAGCTCTGATCTGTAAGTTATTTTCTACTTCATCTCCCTTTGATATTCTATAGTTCTGCGTATTTGTGAGTTTTTATGGAGAATATGAGTGATTAATTCTGGAAAAAGGCATTATTTATTTGCGGATAAGCGTTAATTTTAATTTTATTTTTATTTTTAAAAAAATCTGCTTGATTTTGCCGTTCTTCAAAACCCTAATTTCTTGTTTAGAGATTTCGAACTTTTTGTTCCTGTCTACAATTGTTTTATTTTGTTTGTGGATTATTGCTTTATAAGTTGATAATGGTGGTTATGAAATGCAAGGAATAAGTAAACGAGCAAGTATTCTGCTGTATGAGTGAACTAAGCAAGAATATGTGTTGTTTGAAGTTCCCATCATCCTCAACTAATTTCTCCCATACTTATTGTATTTCTTGATTTATGCACTTATACATGTAACATCGATGCATGTATTGTTCCAATCGTGTGTATTTTGTATTCTATGGCTATTGTCTGGTGTGGGTCCTGAGAATTTGTGTTTGCATGTGTTTTGTTTTAGGTTTTGAGAGTGTAATAGAACCCTAGGAATCATGTCGAAGCTGATGCTCATCATTGCTCTGCTGATGGTATTGGTCATCGTGTCCCAAATTGAATGGAGGCAACCGTTTTTGGGTGACGTGGATCCTCAAAAGCAGATTCCGGATGCGGAAAGAGAGAAAGTTGTGAAAGAGAAGGTAATTTTTAGCTTTCCCTGAAATTTATTAACCCATTAATTCGGTAATCATTGTGGGGAATTATGCCGGTACCTCGACTGTTGTACGAAATTCCAAAACCGTGCTTTCGTCATTGGTTGATATGCTAATTGCTGGCATCGAGTGTTTTGTTGTATTTGGTTATATGTTCTATATATATCAGCTTGTTATGATGTGAATAGAATCTTATGTCGGTGACACTTAAGCTGGTCGGTGACTTGAAAACGAGTGATTTTCTAAAGATTTTTTTCTTCACGTTTACCCCTTTTATTAATCTGGATATAATTTAGACGATATTTTACTTTGTGGCACGTGCATGTTGCGAAAATTGTTTACCATGCTAATTGTAAATACAAATTATTATGAGGCACACTCTCCACTTTCCTTTTATTTACGAAGGTTTCTTTGCTCCATTTATTGCTTTCTTATTAAAATAGTTTTCATGTTGGTGTAGCTTGCTGTAGATGTTTCATCACGTTCATTGATAATTTGATATACATATAGGTGTGTGCATTTCCTAACATTACCGTTAATGCGCTGTTGAATTGCCTAAGAAACCATGATACTTTGTACTTATCTGATACATGGCTAATTGCCTCTGTCATTTTGTAGCCTAATAATCCTCTTTTATCGGCTGCATTTCAGTAATTTCTGAAGTTTAATTATTCAAACTTCAGTGCTTTATTAAATTCCTTGTTACAAGGAAATTTTCTCAAGTGATATCACTTTTTTCATAGATATGCCGTATCTTCTTAAGGAGAAACTTCTACATTTGATTTTTACCTTATTTACAATGTTTTGACATGCTTCCGCGGAAGATTACACTACTGAGACTAAAAATCTATGTATTTTTCGCATGTATGTCTTGCTACAAACTAGAAAATATATTGGCATGTAACTCGTATGGTGCTGGGCTGCCATTTCACAGTCAGATGCTGCATTGAGAATTTAAACTTGGGCTTTATAACTCCAAGGCTAATTAACCATCGTGCAATTGTAATTGGTTTGGACTCTTTTTAATATTTAACACGAAGCTCCATTTTAAATCTAGCTTATATAATGTTGCATTCTTCTTAATCGCGCTGCTGTTTTTTTTTTCTTCGATCTTCGGTATTTGGTGCTTTATCAGATTTTTCCATATTGTCAACTGAAAACAAAGACGAAACTGAAAAATAAAAGGGAACCTCAAAATGTGGCGGGGCTTCTTGTCTGTCCCACTAAAAATCCGGAAAACCCTATGACTATCGGGATCTCTGCCCTTACTTATTTACATTATTAAGTGAAATGTTGAAGATCTCTCTCTCCTCTCCTTCCTCGGAACTTGTCATATTAACTTAACTGTTTCTTTTTCACAAGCATTGACCGTGATGGCCAGGCAGGGATTCCTCCACTAGTAGTTCCTGGTTTTACTTGTGCCAACATTCAGTTGTGAAAAATAATTGTCTTTTAGAAGAATTTGGTAATGTGTAGGTTGGATATTCTTTTAAAGTTGAAAGCTGGAGAGTTCCTTGGTCATGAAAGAGGTCAAAGTACTCGAGCTTGATTTAAGTCAACGTGAAAGTCATCGTTACAAAATTAGGATATTCTAGTTTGAATGCCCTTAAATGGCAAATGATTCTAGTTTGATCGAGAACGTTACCACATCTATAAAACTCAATATGTAGATTCTGTTTCTCCTTGAAAATATTATAAGATCTGAGGCTCATTATTTGTGTTAAACATTGGCTTAAACATCTGTGCTGTTTGCATATAGTGACATCTGCTAGTTTTGACCGTACAAATGTTGAACTAACACAGCCGATTACTGGGAAAAGTAGACTTGCCTGCAAAGTCTCGTCTGTGTGTCTGAATAGAGATGCTAAGATTTTAATGTTCTTTTTTCATGTTGTTGAAGTTAACATGCATATAATGAAAAATCGATTCCATGTAAAATGTGTTCAATTAAGAACTCCATTGTTTTCGATCTGTTCTTTTTCTACCAGTTCGATTATTCATAGCCATGTTTAGATTTTCACCCATAAAATCCTAAATCTTTATTTATGTCATTGTGAAATCTTAATTTGACAAGTTGTGAATCTCATATGTTAATCTACTTTTTCTTAAGAAATAGATATTTGAAAACCTGCACTAGTCTGACATCGGTTGCTGCAGATTATCCTGATACAGGAAAAGAGCATCCATAAGCTGAACGAGGCCATACAGAATCTCAATAAAAAACTGAAAAAATGTGCCTGCTTTAATATGACATTGAACAATAGTACTTTCGGCCCGCCCGCTGAACATGTTACTGAGGAGCAGATTGTGGATGATGAGTTTGGGCAACAGGAAGAAGTTCCCGAGAACTAAAAATGACTGTTTTTCTTGATGTTTGACCCTCTGTCACACCCCTAATGTAGCAGTTTTGCATGATATACACTGCTGACAAGAATAATATGTGGTGCTGGTTATTTCTCTCTCCCAAAAAGAAGGAAAAGGAAAAAAAAAATGATTGAAATGTGGGTTTTTTTAACGTAGGGTATAAAACTTACCTGAAAAATATGTTTGAGAAACAAGACTTTTTGTTTCGCAACATCAACTTCACTTCATTCTGTAGTAATTGTGTGAGAACCTCAAGAGGATGGCTTATGAAATCAAAAGGAAAATGATAAAACGAATAAAGTCGAGACGCGTAAGATACACTCTCTTTAAGATGAAATAGCCTCGTATATTATACACGGTTCACTGCTAACGTCTCCAAGATACAACGACTTTTAATTTATGTATATTGGTAATTCAAATACACAAACCTCCAGCAAACAATGTTCAAGTTTCGTAGCTCTCATGATACAAAGGAACACAAAAAATACAAGATGCTTAATGAACTTTGTGAAAGGATGCAAAGAGCTTTTAAAATTCTTATATATGTAATCATTTTACTTCAATGGAGGTTCAAGCATAAAAAAACACCTTCTTGGACGTGCCCGGTCGACAAAAACTGACTAGGCCTTTTCAGCACGAACATGTGCGTCAGTGTTGCGTGCTTGTTGCGCTCGCGACGAGCTATCGTGTCCTTCCGTAGGGCAAAACAAGTCGTCGTGCCAGCGATTGACGTGCAGCTGCGCGTCGGGATCTCGTACGCGTTCGTCTGGACTTGGAATCGAGTTTCATTTTTTTCTAATCATCCCCAACGAGCCCTTCTACAGTTATAACATACAAAATGCATGATTATGACTCGTTTAGTTTGTCCAAACATTTGTCAAAACAAAATGTTTGTGAATCCTACAACCTTTGAGTTACTTAAACTCAATTGTTCCGCATATAACATTTAGAATTAATTTCTCATTCACCTTAAAATGGTTTTGAGAATTTTCTAAGTCTTCCACTTACGGAAAATGGAACCGTAAAATCAGTTCAAGACCAAATTTTCTTACAATCCCCCACATAAATGAAATTAATGCATGTATGCAATTCTTGAGAGTCCCAACGAACCGTCATTGCATCAGAAAAGGTAGCTTGTGTCTTTGAATCTTCTTTAGTTAGATACTATCGAATGCGCTAGCCGGATAGTAGCGCGATGCTTTGAACTTACCAGTTGTTCGTGTGCATCTAGATAATAGTACTCACACAACAACAACTATAACAATTTTTTATTCTCACGTTGTGTCCATTTCGTCTTGGACCTTATCTCGGTTTAGTAAGTTTTTGATTGAAGCGACATATTTACTTCTCGCTTACAAATGTAATCTTTCTATATAGAGTATCCTGTCTTACTCAACACGTAGATATAATAATCATTAAGAGTCCTAGACTTGACCTCATCACCGCGACAGATTTTAACACTTGACGGTTCTGAAAATGAGATGAAATTTTTCCAGTGTTTAAGTGAACTGTCAAAGCTTAGCTTTCCAATTGAACGAAGGTTTCGGGATCTCCAATTCTCATGGTTGGGTTACCGCTAAGACTGTTTGTTTGTTGTGGATTTTTGTTAAGCTCATTTCTCTAACTAGTTTGTACCATTTATCTTGTTTCATATTTTTTGTAAACAGATCCTTTAGTTTATTTTTTGACTTCACATTGTCACTCGATATAACCCCCACACGAGATACTTTTATTATAAAATGAAGTATTTGACACATATATCGAGACTACCATTATACAAATTACTTTGTGTTCTTCCAATCTTTTTTTTCTTTTCAAAACGATAGAACGATTCTCATATCACAAGCAAAAGTGTACAACAGAGAGGATAAAATGATCCTAATAATAACAGAAAACCCCAGAGGGACATTTGGAGATGCCCTAAATACCACACAAACAACGTAACAGCAGAAAAGGACTAATCCATCACCTATAACAACAATAAACAATTAAAATCACAAACAAAAGAGACTAATGAAATATAATGACAGTTAATTTTATCGTCGTCCTTATTAAAATATAATGACAGTTAGTTTATCTCAAATTCCATCTAAGACTTGTCATTTATAATATAATTTGTCATAAAAGAGTTGTATTACAGTTACAAAAATTTATTTGTCACCAATGAAATATTTATAGTGACGAACGAGAATGTCACATAAAAGTATGTTTTAGTGATGAAATATTCCTTGTCACCAATGAAATATTTATAATGACGATTGAACATGTGACATAAAAGTACGTTTAATGATGAAATATTCCTTGTCACCAGATGAATATATTGAAGGTGATGATATATTTAGTCATAGAAAGTTCGTATTATATGACATGGTGTTTATCGTCACCAAATGCATATAAAAATATGACGATATATTCTATCATGAAAAAGTACAAGTATATGACGCAAAAGACATTTGTCACTAAATAAGTAGGTATAATGACTATAAATTAGTCATAATCAAAGAATATCTCTATGACAAATATCTCAAACATGATAGGCCTGACAGACTCTACTGGGGACTTGAACCTAAGGGAGTATTCACTGTCTCTAGCACCTACTCCTTTATGGCTCACAGGAAAGTGCTTAGATTGGATCAACCTCAAGCCAGCTCCTCTTCTAACTCCATGAAGAAAGGGTTCACCAGATGTTGGAAATTAAAGATTCCTGGCAAACTCAAGCATTTCATCTGGAAATGCATCTCTGGGACCCTGCCCACTTCAGTGAACCTATACAAGAGAGGAGTTGAGATTGACACTACTTGTTCTTATTGTAGGAAGGCTCCTGAATCCATTGAACACCTTCTGTTTCACTGCCCGAGGGCCCAACATATCTGGAAATTATCTCAAATTAGCTGGGAAGGGATATCACATTCTGAAGACTCCTTCAAGCACTGGTGGCAGCAGATTTGCATCTTGGACAACTCAGACATATCAGAGGCTCGGATTCAATTAACAACATACATGCTCTGGTGGCTCTGGCGATCCAGGAACCTCTGGCTGTTCCAAACCACTAATATGCCAGCCCACATTGTCTGCAAGGTAGCACATAAGGAATGGCAAGAGTTCTCTTCCATCTCATAGGCAGTGGTGTTGGCCCTTCTGAAGACTGGTTGCTTGTGTTTTTTTTTTTCTTTTTTCAGTGCTTGTTGTTTTCTGTAGTATTTTTCCTTTGATTGTTGCTTTAGCTTGTAGTTTGGTTTTTTGAAATGGGAGTTGATGCTAGGCAGTTTGGCAGTGGCTAGACCTCCATTTCTTTGGCTTTTATTGTCTTTGAGTGCTTCATGGTTTTAGGCTCTAGGCCACTTGTTAGTGTGCCTCTCAGTTTTATGTTTCGGTCCATTCGGGGGTTCCCCTCTCTGTATGAACTTTATTTTTCTTGAGATATATAGATTCCTCTATCGTTCCGGAAAAAAAAAAAAAAAGACAAATATACCGTCACTTGAAAGAACTTTAGTGTGACAAACTATTAACCATAAATAAGCCATTTTATGCCACAAATCGTGAATTTATATTTGACCATACGTTGTGTCACGGAAGATTGCTTTTAGTTACCAATTGAAAATTATCACAAAAATTCATAATAATATTATTGCAATGAGCCAGTAAATTAGATATGAAATAACAACATATTTGAAGATAATGGGTATCAATAGAAGGAACAATACGGAGTATTCATAATTGAAAACAAAAACAGTAGTACTTGGAATATTAAGCGAAAAACACTAAATAAATACTTAAAGACAAATCTCCAAATCCATAGGCTTATTTTCTAATTTTTACACATTATCGGAAAAGTCTAGGTAAATCCATCAGCATCCGTTCACAAAAGAGATCAATCACCTGTAAATATAAAACATTTAAATTAGCACATATATTTTCATTTATCAAAGCATATTTTCACAAAATAAAAAATGTGCCTCATTGTTTACATTGAACTGTTTACCTCGCGAGTCCTCTGCCCTAATGTTTGTCCCCAATCTCAGCGCACCCAATGAACGGTCGACAGCCCTCGATCCTGGGGACAACCGGCCGCCGAACCCCCCCGTCACGGAATTTTCGCCTCTGACACAAGCCCTGAACCAGCCATCGAAACGTCTTCGTACCTTGAAACGTCTTGGGGAGGATCTAGACAAACCAAATCCTCCTCCCCCGAACCCTATCAAAAACCCTGCTGAAGAAACGCAGATCCAGACCCAACGTTGGACCTTTCGGGATATGGTCAACAAACACCGACAACACGTCGACCTGGCTTCCGATGATGAGGGTGATACGGAGACTGGGAAGGACGGCGTGATTTCCGATCTCTCCTGCCCGACACCAGAGGTCCGTATTTCGCAGGCTTTTTTCGACCGAATTAGCAAAAAATGGCAGAATGTGGTCGTTGTTAAGCCTTTCGACGAATCGATCACAATCCTATCGTTGTATAACTGATTGACGAAGGCGTGGCCATTCATGTCAGGTTGCAATATGATGTACTTAGAGAATTGTTTCTTCCTTATTCATCTACGTACCCAGGAGGACGCCGTAACGGCACTTACCGGAGGCCCTTACGTCATCGAAAGGTGGGTATTTGCACGTGCAACCCTGTTCACTAGAATTTGACGCAAGGAAGGAGGAAATCACAACAATTGTAGCGCGGATTCGACTTCAAGGATTTCCGGCTCATCTTTATCATAGGAGAATCTTTCGTACTATTGGCCGCATTGTGGGCAAGGTAGTGAAAGTTGATCAACAAACCGCGAACTTTACTCGGGGAAAATTTGCTAGACTTGCGGTTGTGGTGGACCTTACCAAGCCAATGTGCGTCAAGTTCAACATTAATGGGCGCACTCAACAAGTGGAATATGAAAGCCTCCCGACCATTTTCTTCCATTGTGGTCGCATAGGCCACTCGAGTATCGCCTGCCCCTACAAAGCAGCAGCTCAACAACAGGCCACTTCCACTGAAACCATAGTCTATACCCAGAACACCAGCGACAAAGGAAGTGACGAAAATCCCGACGACGCGCATAGGACGGAGAAGGAAGAGGTAGCACCCATGTATGGCTCTTGGATACAAGTCCCATAATGTGTGCGTCAACCATTCCCCCGTCGTGATAAAGGAAATGATACTGTATGTGCTTCAAAGTCCCCGCATTCCGGACAACGGCCCGGCTCTCGCTTTGAGCTCTTGAACAGCGAGAACCTTCATGACCCCTCTCAGACTTTCGAATTTGGTGCAACTCCATCAGAGCCAGTTCGGGCTACCCCAGTCGGAACTAGAAAAGCGTCCAAGGCCATGGAGGACCGAGACTGGAGTGTGGTTACGAAGAAAAGTAAGCACAGAGGACGACCGTCTGCGGCTACAACTTCCACCGCGGGTATCACTGGTACCAAACAGGCACCACGGTCGGAACCTAAGATTATTTCAAGCCATGGATCGACTCCTAACCAGACTGATGCAACGGGAAAGCCTAAGGAAGCATTAACGACACCAAAATCGCACCGCAGGACCCAAATCGCCCCACAGACGTGTCAAGTAGGAGCTGGGCTGGACCCGACTAAACACCAAGTTGTTTAACCGACTGATGATGAGATGCTCGTGACTCCACCCTAAGCCTCCCAGACTGGCACCTCCCTTGCTGTTGATGGGGATGCTAGGATGACGGAAGTTGGTCGGGAGGATCCCCTCCAGGAACCGTTCATTCTAAGTTTTTAAGATTCTAACTCATTTATAAAACACAATACGATTGTGCAACATTGACAGACAAATAAGTAGACAAAATGCGATAGTCCAAAATAAATTCATGGTTTTTTTCTACTAATCTACCTACACAAATATTTCCAAGAAGGCATGAAGTTAATTATATTCCCTGTTCATTAACAGCATGCACAAGCACAACTCCAACATACACTAGCTACGAGCATGCACAACAAAAGAATCCATAAGTCACAGCATGCACAATATGCACACAAAAAATGCCAGAATGCACAACAACAAAAATTCAGAACATTCATGGTTCCAAACATGACGATAGCAATTCGATAGAAATTCATGTTAATATTGTTGAAATCAATATTCAAATCGACGGGAGAGAATTTTAAGTGGACACCCTTTCTTATTTCAGAGAACATATCTGGAGCTTAAACTCATAAAAGGAACAAGCCGATGAGATATATCTCACGTCCGTACATGCATCCACGTTCCCAAGCGAAAACGATAGCGTTTCGATAAGTAAAATAAAATGAATAGAAAATGGGAAAAAAAGGAAACACGCCTTAGTAAGTGAACATCAACAAAGTCCAACATAACGAAAATAACAGAACCAACAACTATTCACTGAAAACAACAACTATTCCAACATTCCAATAGTTATAGTTATCCTAAGTAAAAAACATATTGTACCTCCATCTATTCCAACAATTATCATAAGTAAAAAACATATTGTACCTTTGATTGATGTATCTTGTGTTAGTGTTATATACTGAAAGCTTGGCTTTGTATGTTGTTACACATTTGCCCTTTATGATGAGAATCATATTAGATTAAACAAGTTCTACGTTCTGCTGTTCTACACTTAGATAGGGTAGGTCGTCATCGGGTAAACCAAAGATCATTCTATCAGTTACTTGCGAACAAGAATAGTCGTTCACAACCTAGATGGATATGAACACCCCATCCGAATAGTTGTAGTGTCAACTGTACAGTTTGTCTTGACTGATTACATTTATGTATTGAACAGGATCCCAGAGAGGAGAAGTTCATTTTATACTGATCATCGTAAATTAACTAGGCCTCGTTTAATTACTACGTTCTCTTAACCCGTAAGATATTAAACATGCATTTATATGTAGTACATATTACTTTGATTCACTTGGGTGAGGTTCAGTTCGCTGGATCAATATTTCTACTATTTTGGGTAATATTGCTATATATAGTATGTGCTGTTAGGATATTTACGGTCACCATGTGCGTTAGTTTGATGATGTCCCCAGAGTGAGTTCACGAAGGATTAATATTATGTTAAACCCTGCAGGTGGATCAAATTCCGGCATAATAAGAATGTGATGAACGAGCGCTAGCTTCGGTGAAATAATAATAAATTAATTAATTCTTGATTGTCAGTAATCAAGTTAATTAATGGATATTATATCTTAAACGTGGGGAGGTAAATCGAGTAATTATAATTGGAGTCTCAAATGTAATTTGAGCTAGGAAAAGAGAGCGCAATAATATAATGTTGGTGGCCTGTTAATATTATTTAATTAATTAGAGGAGTTGGCTTGGCCCACAATTAGCCTAATTAATTAAGGAGCCTTATTCCTAATTTCCTAAGGGTCCCTATTGTATCTCTATATATATATATCATTAAGCTCATGAGAAGAGAACTAATATGTTCATTATACACAAACACGCCGCCTCTCATCTCTCTCTCTCAGTTCTCATTTGAGCTTTATCTTCTTCTTGTTGCTCCACTGGTACAAGTTGAAGAGGCGTTTGAGTAATACAGTAGAAGATCCATAGGTAATCGAGACCCGATAATCTTCTACATAAGTCGACGAACCTCAACCAGAAGGGCCTAGATCTGCCGACCCCAGCCCAGTCGCCGACCGCCGCGACCAGCCGGAGGAGCGTCGATCCCGACCGGCCGGACTCCGCGACGAGCTGGCACCACACGATCACCGAGGAGACGCGATTGTTTGTAGTATTTTTGGGTAAGTGGTACCCGAGCTACCCGGACTCGGGTCGTTCTTAAAGGAAGGCTAATCGGACGCGGATTCAAGTAACGATTGACTCACACGAAAGAAAAATAAGAAGTCCTAAACATTCTACTTGCATTTTAGTGGTTGAATTAAGCTAGAGAAAGCAAGATTCGTAATTTAAAGCAAGCAACACCTCAAATTGCAAGAAAAAGAGAAAATAGAGAGAAAAATAACAAGGTATCCTAGACCCGAGATGAGAAGAAGGCACTCATAGGTTCGGGAACATGTAATCAAACAATCGTCACTCGCGATCAACCAATCGATCTCTCAATCAATTCTCGCTCATGCAATTAAGCTAACGCAATCAATAACACAATCACATAATCCCTAGCCTACAAGGATGATAGCATAATCGACTTATGGAAGCTCTTATCTTAACCCTAGAAAAATCTATAAGTAAAGACAAGCAAGACTTACGAGATCCTAGACTTTCAACTAAGTCTTCAATCAGAGCTTAAACGAAGTCTCCAAGTCTCTAGTGCATCCACGAGAAGAAATAAACCGAAAAGTTGTAATCTTGATGGAGAAATGTTACAATAAAAATAGGGTCTTAGAGACATTAGAGAGCGAAAGAAAACTAGAGAGAAGGAGGAGAGAAAAACTAAAAGGAAAATTTTAGCAAATGAGGAATTGTTTCCAAATTACATAGAAACAAGTCTATTTATAGCTACACCTCAAACACACACTAAAACACACACATTTAATGATAAAAACTCGGGAGGTAGGCTGAACTCGCGAGCTATGGTGGGATTTTCGCGGGCAAATTCGCTGGCAATGGGAACTCGCAAGTTCTGGACAGCCCTCGAAACGATTTTTGCGGGCAAATTTCGCTAGCTAGGCCACACTCGCGAGGTAAAGGTGTTTCGCCGGCGCGAAAATGAAAACTCGCGGGCTCTGGCGCAGCTCGCGAATTTGAGGTGCTCGCGGAATTTGATTTTCGCGGGCGCGAATCAGGCTTTTGCTTGACTTTTGAGGCTCGATTAGCTCTAACTTATTGCACGCTTCTCCGATTGACTCGAAACTTTGACCCACGCTCCTCAAATCTTTTTATCCTCGTCTTGGAATGCTCAAATCGATATTGCCGTGCAATTAATATATGTGCTCGGAAATGGTTCCCGTGGCTCAGACATGGTTCGGACGGCTCGGAAATGTCTCGGAAATGGCTCCTCTTCCCAAACTCGAACATTGTGGACCTATACAACACCAAAAAGACAAGAAAATACGCCGAACCACAAAAACACAATATAAGAATAAAAATGTACAAAACACGATAAAATGGACCGATCGACACTAAAACTAACCTAGAAAGACTAATTAAAACACATAAAACACACGAAAATAAGCACAAAAACACAATAAACAACTCCCCCACACTTTACTCTTCGCTTGTCCTCAAGCAAACAAAACAACAAGTAGCTCGAAAAGAAAAATTGAGAAGTCCAAAATTAACGAGCATGCGAAATGGAAATCTCATCTTCATCCGGATGTCCATAAAATCAAACTCCAATCCGAAAACACTTTCCCCACATAGTGAATCCATACAAACAAAAACCCGTCCCAAGTCGTCCTACACATGACTTACTCGATTCAAACTTCCTTTTTCTACATACACGTGCAAAAAGCTATAGATGGTCTACTAAACATATAAAGATCATAATCATGAAAGCAATAAGCCAACTCCCATTCTTTTTCTTCTTTTTCTTTTTTTTTTTTCTTTTTTTTATCATGTGAGCTTCTTTTTCCAAACGAGGTTTCCTAGACAATGCTTATCTAGGTGTAACCTCGAGAGTTCTCCTCGAGTTCCCTAGACCAGTTTCTCGGGCTCATTATCCCATTCCACGAGGTGGCCCCGGATAAGAGGAGCCTAGTCTGTACCTCCTCGCGAACTCACATTTTATTCCTTTTTTTTTTGTCGAAGGGAATGGCACACAAGGATACATCACGAATACAATATCATAAACATCACAAATCAATCAAAACGCACCACAAGTGTATGGCATAACACGTTTACAATAATCGAACACAAGGCAAGTATGTCTCAAGAACATCAATCGAGAACAAACAAGGGACAAAACAATTCCGTGAATTCACATGCGGGTTCGCATGTTAACGAATCATCATTCAATTTTAGACACCGTCCAATTCATCAAGTACAGAAAGCATGAACGTTAATAATGGCACCAATCAATCATCTCGACTCATCACTTAGTCATCTTGACTCTTGAACTAACATCGAGCCTCACGCGGGAGAGAGGTGACACAAACACACAGAAACTCAACAAATTCGGTCCACGACATAACCAATACGAAAAATAAAGCACCAAAAACGAAATATATCGACTAGGCATGCATAATCATGAAATCCCTCCCCCACACTTAAATTTTGTTTGTAGTATTTTTGTTTAAGTGGTAACCAAGCTAATCGGACTCAGGTCGTTCTCAAAGGAAGGCTATTCGGACACGGATTCAAGCAACGATTGACTCACACGAAAGAAAAATAAAAAGTCCTAAACAGTCTACTCGCATTTTGGTGGTTGAATTAAGCTAGAGAAAGCAAGATTCGTAATTTAAAGCAAGCAACACCTCAAATTGCAAGAAAAAGAGAAAATAGAGAGAAAAATAACAAGGTACCCTAGACCCGAGATAGAAAGAAGGCACTCAAAGGTTCGGGAACATGTAATCAAACAATCGTCACTCGCGATCAACCAATCGATCTCTCAATAAATTTTCGCTCATGCAATTAAACTAACGCAATCAATAACAAAATCACATAATCCCTAGCCTACAAGGATGATAGCATAATCGACTCATGGAAGCTCTTATCTTAACCCTAAAAAAATCTATAAGTAAAGACAAGCAAGACTTACGAGATCCTAGACCTTCAACTAAGTCTCCAATCGGACCTTAAACAAAGTCTCCAATTCTCTAGTGCATCCACGAGAAGAAATAAACCAAAAAATTGTAATCTTGATGGAGAAATATTACAATAAAAATTGGGTCTTAGAGACCTTAGAGAGAGAAAGAAAACTAGAGAGAAGGATGAGAGAAAAACTAAAAGAAAAATTTTAGAAAATGAGGAATTGTTTCCAAATTACAAAGCAACAAGTCTATTTATAGCTACACCTCAAACACACACTAAAACACACACATTTAATGCTAAAAACTCGCGAGGTAGGCTGAACTCGCGAGCTAAGGTGGGATTTTCGCGGGCAAAATTCGCTGGCAATGGGAACTCGCGAGTTCTGGACAGCCTTAAAAACGATTTTCGCGGGCAAATTTTGCTAGCTAGGCCACACTCTCGAGGTAGAGGCGTTCCGCGGGCGCGAAAATGAAAAATCGCGGGCTCTGGCGCAGCTCGCGAATTTGAGGTGCTCGCGGAATTTGATTTTCGCGGGCGCGAATCAGGCTTTTGCTTGACTTTTGAGGCTCGATTAGCTCTAACTTCTTGCACGCTTCTCCAATTGACTCGAAACTTTGACCCACGCTCCTCAAATATTTTTCTCCTCGTCTTGGAATGCTCAAATCGATATTTCCGCGCAATTAATATATGTGCTCGGAAATGGTTCGCGTGGCTCAGACATGGTTCGGACGGCTCGGAAATGTCTCGGAAATGGCCCCTCTTCTAGAACTCGAATATTGTGGACCTAAAAAACACCAAAAAGACAAGAAAAATACGCCGAACCACAAAAACACAATACGAGAATAAAAATGCCTGAAACACGATAAAATGGACCGGTCGACACTAAAACTAACCTAAAATGACTAAACTAAAACACATAATACACACGAAATTAAGCACAAAAACACAATAAACAACACACGCGAGCCCGACGATCCCACACGACCCGATTCCGATCGCGAGCCCGACCTTCTATTCGTGATCCAGTTCCGTTCTTGTGCTGTGTACGACCATCCGGAATATCAGCCAGTTCGCCAAAAATTTTAAGCCGTAAGTTTTCTACGTCAAACCTTTAGATTCGCTGCGCATAGGTTTACGTTTGCTATTGGATTCGTGATTTGTATGTAACAAGTTCCTCACAGATCCCAACATCTTGAAGGTTACCATAGCCTTCAGCTGCATTCAACTTCTGATTTTGGTTGGAAGCTTCAAGGATTGCGGAATGCCACTCTTATTAGTGTGATTTGCTGTAGTATTATCACCTTCTCCAGAAGAACCATGATGAACTTCAATAGTTCTACTTGCTCCAGTCACTCCAGCAGATGACACATTTGATTGGTTAAGATGTTCTCTGACTCCAATACGAGTTGACGCACCAGTTGAGCTATCCTTGGCAGCTTGGTTAAGCATGTTTTGTATAGAAGCTTTTGAAATAATTTTAGGTTTATGATTTCCTGGCGTCATTCGTAGAATCTACATAAAACAACAAAAATTTTATCACTGCAAGACCAATTTTGAAGAACTAAGAAATACATAATCGTTATAATAAAAATGCTTACTTGTTGAAAAAAAGAACACATATAGTTAACTTACGTATTCCAATAGTGATTATATGTGTTACGACTCAATATATATATATATATATATATATATATATATACAATTTATATATAGTTCTTAGGATTCCCTAAACTCTAGTCTACCAACAACTATTGAGAAAATAACACATGTAGATTTTTTATTTATTATTAAATCTACATGTGTTATTTCCTGACATTGATTTTCATACATCCAGTTATTTCCTGACCCCACTTTCTTCATATCATCCTGGGACAGGAAGATGAACTGAAAAAAGTTCTCACTGATTTCCTTTACCTCCATGGAATTCTGCATTCGCCAAATAAGACCCATCGTTCTCTTAATACCCAACAACCCAGCGTGTCTATCCCCTACAATCTTACCAAATAGACTGCGCATGCATTCCTCTTCACTAGATTTAATATCATCTTCCTTGAGTTCCACTTCTCCAGCTTCCGTAGCAGATAATGACATCTTAAGAAGCTTTCGCATCACACCCTCTTCCACAAAACCCCTTGAGGTACTTCCAGGCGAATTGTCACCCATCGAAACCCGGTAAAATGGCTAGCCTCCAAAACCCTACTAAGAGCCTCGAGCCTCTCTAATCCCACAATTACAGAGATCAAAGAAATCCCCACACTCCCAGCACAGGAAGATCACAAACAACAAAAAGAACTCCCACCCGAGAGAAATCGACACTCACGCGAGGGAAGCACAGCTGTTTTGAGGAAATCAATTTATGGGTACAAATAATCAATGTTCCTTTAAATTGGCTGAGTACAGATGTGGGTGTCAAGATAGGACAAATCTTTAACAAGGTCAAGAACTCCATTGTCTGCAAAGTAGGGGGAGATGTGGGTAGCTTCATCAAAATCATGGTTGCAATTGACATAAATAAACCTATCCCCCGATGCACTTCAGTTAAATTGGGCAATGAGAAAGTTATGGTTGCTTTCAGGTGTGAGAAACTTGTAAATTTGTGCTACTATTGTGGTATGATTGGTCACTTAGAAAGGAATTGCAAAAGGAGGGAAAAAGACTTTGAAAAGAATTGTGTGTTAGAAGGGCAATATGGTGATTGGATGAAGGTCAGTGAAACATTTGGGGGTGGCAGGAGCTTTTTTAGTGCACATTCTGGGGAGAAGAACACAAATCCTAAATCAAATGCCAACCAAGACTCAAGGGTATCTGATAACTTGACACCTGGAAGGGCTCATACTGGAAGTGCTCATAATCCTGGCCTTATTGAACATAGTTTCCAACCCATAGGCCCCAACACAGCAGCCAACAAGAAAGTGGACATGACAGTGACACAACAGACTGATGCATCATTGAAAATTGTGGAAATGGAGTTGATTGCTGAGAGGGATGTTGGGGGGTTAATGGAAACAGAAGAACCTCATAAAGGTGTGGAGATTAGCCAAGCAGAGCAAGTGGAGCATGAGTGCTATTACAATCTGAGGAAGAGACCTGGTTCTATGTGGAAGAGGAAAATTCCAGCCAAATCTAACAAAATCCAGGGTATTGTGATCTCAGAGGAAACCAATGCTCATAGCCAACTGAAAAGAAGTAGAGATCTGGTTATCTATGAGGGTTTGCAGGAATGTGAGGAAGGGGAACCCAGCGACAAAAAACAGAAAGGGAGCAATGCTCAACTATTGGTGGAGAAGGCCAGCCACAAATGGCCCCAATGTGACCAATGAAGGCCATGGTGTGGAACTGTAGAGGACTGGGTGGGCCCTCTACAGTTTCCCAGATCAAGGATTCTAGAAGAATCCACCACCCAAATATTATATTCCTATCTAAAACAAAGAAAAATATAGTATTTACTACTACTGTGTGCAGGAAACTTGGCTTTCAGTCCAGATGGCACTTGGTGGATCCTATTGGCTCTAGAGGTGGATTGTTGTTGCTCTGGGACTCTCACATGGAGGTGAACCAGATTTTGGGAAATGAATTCTGTGTGCAAGTGGAGGTTAAAGGGACTGGGATTGAAGATTGTTGTTGGATGGTGTTTGTGTACATGAGCACTGACAGAAGGGAGAGAAGTAGACAATGGGAATTCCTAGAGCAGAGGAGAAGTGGTTGGGGTGATGGGTGGGTGATTGCAGGGGATTGGAATGATTTGGTGTCAAATGAGGAGAAGAGAGGGGGGGCTGACTAGGAGTCCCAGTAGCTTTGTGGGTTTACAGGGTTTTATCAATAACATGGAGATGCAAGAAGTAGCTCAGAAGGGATCCTTCTTCACCTGGGGCAACAATAGAGCTGGAGATGGCTATGTTGAAGAGAGACTGGACAAAATTTTTGTATCTTTTGATTGGTTGGCTAGATTTCTTAGAATGGAGGCCTCAAATTATTTTAGATCTGCCTCAGACCACAATGTGTTGCTCTTTGATACTGAACAAGAGCTTAACAAAAGGCACAAGAGATTCCAGTTTAACAGTAGCTGGGTGGAGATGGAGGGAGTTTCTGAGACTGTTAGGGAAGGGTGGCAGATCTGTGTGGATGGGTCAGAATTATTCCAGGTGCACCAGAAGATTAAGCATACCAGAATGGCATTACTTGCCTGGCACAAACCTCATCACAGAAATCAGGAAAGGACCATTAACTTCTGTCTGAAAAGATGGCTGGTATGAGGACTGAGGGAAGGGATAGAGATTGGGAGCAGTGGGGAGCAGTGAAGAATGAACTTGACAAAGCCCATCTAGAGGAAGAACAATATTGGAGGAATAAATCCAGAGCTCTGTGGCTTAAAGCTGGTGACTGCAATTCAAAGTACTTTCATGCCTTTGCCTCTCAGAGAAGACATGCTAATTCAATCACAAAACTTACCAGCAATTCAGGGGAGGTGTTTACAACTTATGAGGCCATACAAGACCACATCTCTAGCTATTACTCTGATCTGTTTACTTCAGAAGGTTCAAGGGGGGGTGAGGAGCTGCTTCAACATATTCCTTCTTCTATCTCTGATGCTGTTAATTCTTATTTGGTGCAAGCCTTTACAGAGGAGGAAATCAAAGTTGTGGTGTTCAGTCTTGCCCCTGAGAAGGCACCTGGTGATGATGGTATGACAGCTATCTTTTTTCAAAAATTCTGGCACATTATCAAAGATGATGTCTGTAGAGCTATTTATAGTTTCTTCTCATCTGGTCACATGTTGAAAAATTTGAAGCATACTATTATCACTCTGATCCCTAAATGCATGTATCCTGTATCTCTGAAAAATTATAGACCTATCAGTCTATGTGGGGTGATGTATAAGATTATAGCCAAGCTATTGGCTAAAAGATTGAAGCCTTGCCTGGAGTTGTGTATTAGCAATGCTGAAACTGCTTTTGTGCCTGGTAGATTATTGGTAGATAATGTGGTTATAGCTCATGAGATTTTCCACTATCTTAATAGACATAGTTCAGGGCCACATGTGTTTATGGCTCTCAAATTGGATATGGAAAAGGCTTATGACAGGGTTGAATGGGAAAGCATTAGGAGAGTGATGGGGAAGATGGGGTTTCATGTTAAATTCATTCAGTGGGTGTTAAGTTGCATTGCTGCTCCTACCTTTTCTTTTAATTTGAATGGCAAAGTGTGTGGCTATGTGACTTCTTCTAGGGGAATCAGACAGGGGGATCCCCTGTCCCCCTATCTTTTTATTCTGGTTTCCGAGTTATTATCAGCTTGTTTAACTCATAAAATAACTGCTGGTGAGTACAGAGGCATTAAAATTTCGAAAGATGGTCCCATGATTTCCCATTTGCTGTTTGCTGATGATGCACTAGTGTTCTGTAAGGCTGATGAATCTCATGTGCTTTTGCTGCTGGATATTCTTGCTAAGTATCAGTTGTTTGCTGGTCAAAAAGTTAACTTGAGTAAATCCTCCTTATTCTTGAGTAAAAATGGGACTCCTGATCTCAGTAATAGGTGGTCTGTTTTGTTGGCTGAGGTTGAAGTTAAAAGATCATCCAGATATCTTGGCCTCCCCCTTGGGATTGGGGCTTCTGAAATTGATACTTTCAAATTTCTGGGATGTGGTGAAAGATAGAATCAGTAGCTGGAAGAACCACTTTCTTTCTACTGCAGGAAAGGAGGTGTTGGTAAAGAGTGTTCTGTGTGCTTTACCTGTGTTTGTGATGTCCTGCTTTGTGATCCCTGTTTGTATCTGCAAGGAGATTTGCAAAATGATATCCAAATTTTGGTGGAAGAAGGGTGGGGACAAAGATAAGGGTATGCATTGGCTCTCCTGGGACAAACTTGCTATGCCTAAATCTGATGGGGGACTGGGCTTCAAAGATTTGAAGTTGTTCAATAAGGCTCTGATCCTCAAGCAGTTGTGGAGGATTTTTGAAAATCCTGATCTTCTGGTGAGTCAACTACTAATGCACAAATACTTTAAAAACTGCTCTATCTTTGACTGGAATAATACAGGGGGTGCTTCTTGGCTTTGGTCTTCCTGGGCTTCTTATCTCCCTGATCTGTAGAAGCATGTTAGAGTTACTATCAGGAATGGCAAGAGGACCAGACTTAATGAGCCAAATTGGGTTCCAGGTCTGAACAGAGCTACTCCAGAACTGAAGGTGGGGATAGATGGCAATCTCTTCTGGGTTAATGATCTTCTTCTGGCTGGTGGTGAGCAATGGGATGGAACTCTTATTAGAGCTTTGTACTCAGAAGAAGATGTTGAGAAAATAATGCAGATAACTTCATTGAATCCAAGAACTGAGAATAAAAGACAATGTGACTTGGTGGATAAAGGTAAGTTCTCTGTTAAGAAGGCTTATGGCAAACTGTTGGCTTCTAAGATGGCTTCATCTGCAGTTGCTGAGAGTAGTGGACAAGCTGAAGGTAATAATAGAGCTAGAAGAAGATGTTGGGACCTGAAGGTGATCGGCAAGGTTAAACACTTTGTGTGGCAAGCCATTTCAGATATTCTGCCTGTTAGCTCTAACTTGCTGAAGAGGGGAATGTTTGTTGAGGATAGATATAGAGTCTATGGGGGAAGGAGAAGAGACTCAGGAGCATATACTCTTTTCTTGCAAGAAAGCTGTGCTAGTTTGGAAACTTGCCCCAGTCCAGTGGGATAGGGTCTTTGAAGAGCAGCTCACTGTCAAACAGTGGTGGTGGTGGATTAGTAACATGAAGCATGATGACATCTCAGAAGACAGGATTCAGCTCTCCACCTACATCTTGGGTGGTGGCTATGGAGAGCTAGAAATCTGTAGGTTTTTGAAGGCCATTGGCAACCAGAGGAGTGGATTGTTAGGGCTGCTTTGAGAGACTGGATTGACTACAAATGCACGCACAACACAGGATGATGGGAGTACCAAGTCTGTATCCTAGGTCTAGTGTCAGTGGGTTATGTGGCTTGTGTATGTTTGTATCATGTGCTCATATTTATGCAGTTGTGTTTGTATTGTTAGCCTGGTTTCTATTGCTGTTGCAATAGGTCCTAGGTTGGCTTCCTTGGGTGATGTTTTATCTGTCTTGCTTTGTTGTTAGTTGTATTTTAGGCAAGCCTGCGGCTTGTCCTCCCATATGTCCGGATTTGGGGTTTTCCCTTGTACACATTCCCCTTTATTTTATTTATGGAGCTGTCATATCGTTGGAAAAAAAAAAAGTTAACTTCTATTCATGAAAGATGAAGAAAAAACCTGTAAAACGCAAATTTAGGTTGAAAAGATGAAGAAACTTCATCAGCAGGAAAAGATAGAATCATAATATGAAAAAAATACAGGTGAGCCAAAGATAGAATTAGAATGAGAAACAGAATATGAAACACAAATTCTACACCTTCATCCATTATGAATATACAATGACAAAATCAGAATATGAAACAAAAGTATTACACTTTCAGCTACAGTTGTTATGATTATACAAAGATAGAATCAGAATAAAGGTGAGCCAATATAAGAATCTGTAAACACAAATTTTATAAATGGGAACTAAGAGGAGGAAGTTTATATGTATCATGTAATGCTCCGTTTGATTATGGAATATTTGAGAATTATTTATTATTATTATTATTATTATTATTATTATTATTATTATTATTATTATTATTATTTATCTTTATTTATTGTTATTATTATTTGTTGAATGCTAAATATTACTAATTGTCTAAATATTATTTAATTGCCAATTTGTAATTAAATGCCTAAATGTCTATTAAATGTCTAAATGTGTATTATTATTAATTAATTAAAATGTGGGTCATAGATATCTAAAAGTTCCGGTTTTACTTTTGTTTGTCGAACGAGCGAACCGAACTATATTTATCGGCTCAGTTGAGCTCGAGAACCCGAGCCGCAAATAAAACCCGCGCGATCCGACAGAGAGAACCGAGCCGTAAATCGAGCCCGAGAGTCGCCCGAACTCTTTAAACCCGCGATTTCGCCTACGTCATTTTTATTTTTCTCCTCTTCGTAGAACTTATCGAGACCAAGAATAAGCTTATATTTTCAGCCATCATAAGCTTAATATTCCTGCCATTTCGATTTATTTTATACCGCCCCTTTTCTTGAATTATATGTTCCAATTTTATTTGATTAAAAATCCAATAAATCCTAAGTGTGTTTGGTATGATTTCCATCAGCCCTTTTTGGTGATTATTCCAGCTCAAACACACCCCCGCAACACTTCTAATTGGACAAGGAAACCTTTATTTTCCATTCCCTTATATTTTTCCCCTTCACCACGCAATTTCAATAATATCTTTTCCCCTTTTTCCTTGCGAGCGGAGGTACGCATAACAGAGTCTAAATTTTCGTCCAAATTTCAGAACTTATTTTATCGTCCCTTAAGCCATGCAAATATCATCACCTCATCGCCAAACCCCAACCCCTTCATCGCCAAATTTTCAGCCTCCGTAGCAGGCCATCGCGGCCGTGCGAGAGGAAAGCCGAGCAGCAGTTCGATCATCACATCGTTCGATGAGAAGAGAGGGTTGTGATGAGCAGCAAGCCGTCCTTCATCCGTCACCATTGACGAGCAAGCAGCAGGCCGCCCCGAACCAGCAAACCGGAGGCCCACACACGAACCGACGAGCCACGCGCAAGCTGCCGAGCCCGATACGTGCGTGCCCATGACCCCGAACAGCCTTTCCCCGTCCATTTCGCATGTTAATCCCAAGAACGGTACCAAGGCTCGATCCCTCTTTCGTTTACTTATGCGATATGTCAATGATTTAGTGTAACGCCCCACTTTATTTTGAAATATTTATCGAATTTATTTAATAAAAATCACAATAATTTTTTTTTTTTATTCAATCTTAAATTTTATTTTAAATCTCAGTGGGCGCCACTTATTTACCAAAAGATTTTATTCGTAAAAGCAACACATTAAACAAAGGTAGCACGCTCGAACATTAAATCATAAACCTCACTAGCGGTCTTTAAATACCAAAACATAAGAGATAATTCACAACTCCCAAGTTCAAACGACATGAGTTCATAAACTAAGCGGAAGCAAAATTAAATAAGCAATAATAATAAATGTCATAACCACCACTCGTCATCTCGTCTCGTCACCGCCAACTGCTTAACCTGCATCAGTTACGAGCAGGTGGGAGTGAGTACAGTTAACTATCGTACTCACACTATGCACATGAATAACTTATAAATGGTATGGTCGCAGCATGAACATAAACAATAAAATCATGTCACATCTCTAGCCACATCAATGACTATAGTCTCATCAAAGACTCACTCATGTACATCTATGCTCATCAAAGCTAAGCCATGCCATATCAGTGAAACATGGGAGTGCGTGCCACATCAATGACACGGCCTTCTCATAGGTCTTAATGAGATTTACCTCACTGGTAACTGTATCTTACAATACGGGGACAACCGTATCGACGGCCATCAAGCTCACATCGATAGGCTACATGTTTATTTTCATACATAGATCACACCAAACTTTTATCACAATTTAACATCACACATATGCATAGATAATTTTAGAATAACCCACCTGGAAATTTCGGATTGATGATAGCAAATCAGAAAAGGTGAGGACTGAGGCTTGACTCCTCAAACACCTACATTATGTCAAGATCCTACAATGAATATCTATCTTGACTTTAATCGGAAATCACAAAAACAGACCTAGTCGAACTTGTTTCGACTAAGTAGCTCGTGAAGTCCTGTGGATGTTGGAACACTAAGACTCGGCTCTAAACTCGACCAAACCACATAAGGGAGTTCACACAAATCCATCTAAGGATTGACCAAATCAAACTCACATAAAAACTAAAAGCAAGTCGATTCCCAAAATTTCATAAAAATCATGTTCGGAAATAGAAATCATTTAATCGCATGAAAATAGATAGTCAAGCTACCCTACGAATTAAGCTCTGAAAATTTACCCAAAATTTCATCTTCCAGCAACATGTAATACCACAAAGTTTCAGCTGTAAACTCGAAATACCCTATTTTATAAAATTCGAACAGGATATCAGCAAAATGGCCAAATTAATTCATACTCGAACTTAATGAACGAATATGAAATTGAAAATTTAACACAACCACATACAGCATGTTAAAGTCCATGTATAAAAATCTCAGACTTAAATGTTAACTGTTGCTATTTTTAAAAATTCATACGAGCAACAGCAGTTTATCGAATTTAAACCCAAACTGAATCAAAACGGACTCCAAAAATTCTCATCTTTTACAAACATGATTAAACACATAAAATAGGCATCTCAATAAAATTTCATAATTTTTCATGAAGTAACCAATTTATAAAAATTCAAACAACGTTTCTGCAGATTTGATAAATAAAATATTAACCACATCAAATCAACTCCAAAAATTCTAATTATTTAACACAACATATATAAGTCAAAGAGGCATGACATATTCGAATTTCAGCTCATTTCAGTCAGGCATGAATATTTTATGCATTTAACATTATTCTGGATAGATTACAATTTAATTATTTAAAAATGGCTACATGTCTCTAAAAATTAGGAATATTTTACACAGGGCAGGCAATGAACAGATAACACATCGCTCAAAATTTCAAATCGTTTCGAGCTGCGAGCTATTTTTAAAAATTCGAACACCGAAACAGCGATTCACAATCTCGACAACTTGGCAATTAAATCACAACATAAAATTTCTCGTCCGAGGCCTTTTCATAAGACCAAGGACTCGACATTGTTCCAATATCCACCGACTTACACGACTTTTGAGGTCTCGTTCGATTTTTGAGAAAATCGAAGAGATCCCGAACATACGAACACATAAAATCATAACAATATATATATTCGCACATACTCACATCAATAAATTCACATCACTAATCAACGAGCACTTCACGAAAATAAACACTCAACGAAACATATATGAATTAAACGATACGGAAAAACGACGAGGTACCGTTCTCGGGAATAACTCGAAAACGTCACGAATGCGAACGGGCTCGACGGAAGCTCGCGTCTCGCCGGAAGAGGAAGGCTCGCCGCACGGGGAGGAGAAAGTGGTCGCTGTTTCTGGTTCACGAGCTCGCCGGGAAGGTCACCGGAGTTGCTGCTCGAAGGATAATCGAGCTCGCCGGATTGCTGCAACTGTCGCCGAAAGTGGCTGCTTCAGATGATGGTGACGAGATGAGGAGATGGCGACGAGAGGATGGCGAGGAGGGACAATGAAGATGAAGGTGATGAGATGGTGAGAGATGACGATGATGATGGACGATAGGTCACAGCGAAAAGAGAGAGAGTTGCGATCGTTCTATATTTTTTTTCTTTTTTTCTGCTGCGAGAGTAAACCAGCGAGAGAGAGACGAGGGAGGAGGGAGATGGACGATAAAAAAAAAATAAGCTGCGGGATTGTTCATGAAAAGAGAAAACGTGATGGAGAGATTTATATATATATCTCATTAGGGTTGATGAGAAAACTTCTTGTCCAAGCCACACAACTCACGTCCAAAAAAGAAGAAAAGAAAATCTGTCGGGCCAGGCCCGAGAAGTTGGGTCAAATGGGTTTTGGGCCGGTTGGGACATTAAATCGGCTCACGGGCTCGATTAAAATTTTAAACGGACATTTTTCGGGCCCAATTTCGGTTCCAATGAAAATTCTCGGGCTCGATTTCGAATGCAAACACGCGATAAAAATAAACCGAACAATATATATATTTATATTCTCATATTTTTAAATACACATTAATAATCACAAAAATTCAATTAGACAATTACACATTTAGCATTTAATCACATTTGACAATTATTAAATATTATGGCATTCAAGAAAAATAAATAAAAAAATTATCACAGAAATAACAATAATAATAATAATAACAATAATAATAATAATAATAATAATATATCCCACATAATCCACAAATAAACGGGGCATTACATTTAGTGTTTATGGCATGATTAGGGTTTAATATTCGTGTGTTTATGTCGAGATCTTTTCGATTCGTATGAAATCGAGAGAGATCACTTGAAAAACGTGTTAAGTTTCTGTGGAATTGGAACATAACGAGTCCTTGGTCTTATGGTGAAGGCCTCGAACGATTTCGTCGTAAATCGAGTCTGTGATAAATTGTCGAAATTGTTTAGTGGCTGTTTTCATAATAAAATCATGATAAATTGTATACTGCTCGGATTGAAAATTTTGTGAGTAAGACCCTCTAATGAATATGAAGCTTGTGTAAAAATTTCATAATTGTATGAGGTCTGTAGCTATGTTACTAAATAAAATGATTTCTGGTCAGAATCTTGTTAAATACTTAATAAATTGGTTTGTAATTCAAATGTTCTGAAATTTTAGTATGTTATATTTTTAGAATTTTTGGACTAAGTTTGGTAGGGTAAATAATTTAATTGCTGATTCTGCAGAAAGTTGTTTTAATTACTATAAATCGGTTGGTTGTTGAAAACTTCTTTAACTTTGCTGAGATGCTTATTTTATGTGCCGGTTCATGCTATTAAAAGATGAAAATTTTTGGAGTTAAATTTGTATCGGTTTTGATTTAAATTCGATAACTGCTGAAACTTGTGTGAATTTTTAAAAATTGTATAGTTAATGTCCAGGGCTGAAATTTTTATATGTTGTCCCTATCATGCTGTAACTTGTTGTGTTAAAATATGAAGTCCTGATTTGTTCATTAGGTTCAGATATGGATTTATGTGAGTTTTGCTGATATTTTGTATGAATTTTGTAAATTAATGTACTATGAGTTTGAAGCTGGAATTTTGTGGTTTTACTAATTACTGGGAGATGTATTTGTGGTTAAAATTTTAGAGCTTAAGTCATAGGGTAGCCTGGCCAACTGATTTTATGAGATTAATGATCATTATTTTCAAAATATGGATTTGGAATTAAAATCGGTAATCGACTTGCTTTTCGTTTTGTTGTGAGTTTGACTTGGTCAACCCTTAGTGGGATTTATGTGAACTCCCATATGTTGTTTGGTTGAGTCTTGTGTCGAATCTAAGTGTTCCAACGTCCACAGGACTTCACAAACAACTTAGTCGAATCAAGTTCGGCCACGTATGATTGTGATTTCCGTTTAAGTCAGAATAGATGTTGATTATAGCATCTGAACTTAATGTAAGTGTTTGAGGATTCGAGCCCTCGACCCACCGACCTGTTTGTGTGACTTCTCTACCGAATCACCAGGTGGGTTTTATTTAAAATTTGTTATGTTGTAAATGTTATAAATGAATGTTAATTATTTGTGGTATGATTAAAGTATGCATGTGAACCATGTAGCCTTCGATGTGAGCTGTACCGGCCATCGAACGGTTATCCCCGTTGGGTAATCTCCTTTGAGAATTTATTCCTACTGGCTTGGGCACCGATAAAAGCCCAAGGGGCATTCGGTATTTTACCCCGCAGTAGTCTATGCGTAGGTGTGCACACGAGTCTTGATTTTATGACGATATTATGATGACAGGAGATTTGGATATTAGATTGATTCTTATTTATGCTGAGATCATACTGTTGATTTGTTTGATAAATGTTTACGGC